TGGCGGACTCACACTGATGGGCTTCGTCTCGGGGGGGGGGGTGGAGTCAGCTAACGCGGTGGCGGACTAGCATCGCGCTCCGTCTCGGGGTAGGTTGTAGTCGACTGACACGGCGGACTTGGAGGAGGAGTCGGCTGACGCGGCAAACTTGGAGGAGTCGGTGGCCTGGGAAAGATGATGCAACCCTTTCTCCATAGAATGATACGATGTATGGCGTCTCCTAGTGTGCGCTCGTTATCACCTCCAGGAATGTCAAGCTCTAGCTCGTTATATCCCGACATCACTTCATCCACCCCGACACGAGCATAGCCAGCTGGAATCGGATTGCCATGGAAGGTTGCTTGAGGGGGATTTGGTAAAGCATAGCCGTTGGCCACCTTCATGGATATGTTCTTTAGTTTCCATGGAAGGTTTCTTCAGGGGGATTTGGTAAAGCATAGTCGTTCGCCACCTTCATGGATATGTTCTTTAGTTTCACGTGTAGCTCACAAGGTGTCGCATTTTTGACATCATCCACGGGGTATCTAGCCAATAGTGCATCATCAGCCGGGGTGGAACCCATGCTTCTTTTCGGCATAGATGGGACGGTGCTATTCAATGCTAGATCTGCTTGCTGCTGCCGCTGAGACGCCCTTTCCTGGCTAAGTGTGTCGATCTGCTCCTGCTGCTGCCTGAAAGTGAGTGCGAACTCCGCGTGATTTGATTCTACCTGTAGAAGGCGGTCTGCTTGCCGTTTCTTCTGCTCCTCCTCCTGCTTCTTCTTTCTCGCACGACTTCTCTAAGTGGTGTTCCACTCCGCAAAACCCTCATACCATGGAACAACACCTTTGCCTCGTGTTCGTCCCAGGTGTTCAGGATTCTTCAGGGCGCACATAAGCTCGTTGTTCTCTCTCTCAGGCTCGAACGCCCCCGTTTGAGCCTCTTCTATTGCTTCAATCAAAGTGTCGGAGGCTTCTTTAAGACTTGCCTGCTCCATAATCTCCCCTGTCTGTGGGTACAACTTTCCCCCATGTGCATAAAACCAAGTCCTGCACCTGTCGGGCCAACCCAATGTTTTTGGAGTGACCCCTGCAGCAATCATCTCTTGCTCAGATGCATCCTACTTAGGCTGGCCGATCTGGTAGCCACCTGGCCCTAGCTTATGGTGGTGCTTTTTTTCGCAACATTAATTTTGTTTTTCCTCGAGTGTTCCTTAGTTGCTTCCAATTCCTTGAACTTCACAAGAGTCCCAGTGATCTTTTGCCTTCTCCAGTGCTCCAGTGAATTCTGGAGTCTACTTTCCTTTTGCTTCGTAGTTGGCCCAT